GAAAAGCCCAACAAAGAATTAAGTGACAAAGAATTACAAAATAACAGCCTCAAGACTTTTATACCAGACTTCAGGAAGAAGGGAAAATGAGTTATTAGAGGCATCCTAGTTAACCTCGATGACGGAGACCTCCTCAAGGTCTTAATCTCGTCAGCTGAAACAGTGAAGTTAAAAAGATTAAATAGAAGAGATCCGTCTTGGACACCGAACGAAAAAAAATTCTCTACCTCTTCTTTGTTGATCGTATTTAAAGGTGAGATTTTGAGAACCCTACGTTCGTCGTCTAATGCAATGTTTGAACCGTAACAAATTCGTGCATATACCGAAAGACGGCCTTAGTAAGAAGCATTGTGTGGCATGCGGGGAGGAGATCATGGTGGAGAGGGCAAAAGGATGACTCCACAGTGTGCGAACTGTAAGAGTAACCATAAATCTGTCTCTGATAGTCCAGTTTTTCAAAAATATAAAATTGGTGTAAGAAAAATTGGCATTTGAAAATATTTCAGATTCAGAAGCCCAGAGGAAGCAAATTGAATCTCCAGAGCCGTTTCAAGAGTAAACGATGACATTCCTACAACTGAAGAAAGCGTTTCATGCAGAAATTCTTTAAAATCAAAGATTTAATCTCTGAAGTACATTTTTAAGAGCGAGAGAGTAAAAGTAGCAAAGGAAAGATTGGCAAGGTGGTTATAAAGTAACCAATTAATTCCGATATATAGTTTGGTTTTCGAAAATGCATACACTGCATTGATAATTTGAGTTTAATAGTATAAAATAATCATGTTAGTTTTTTTTAAGAGGGAGTCGGTTTCACGTTTATATCTAGATATTCAAGGGGCATATGATATTGTAGTCTCTCTATATTATTGAAAACAAAATAGTTAAGGGTCCATAAAGAATGTCCTAAGCCATCAGTTATACTCAATATATACAAACAAATTAGATAAAGTTCCAGACAACAATATTAAGGTACTGCAAATTTCAGATGACGTTTGCATCCATGTCATAAACAATGACAAAGGTAGTTAAGATACTAGAAATGGAAACCGATAAATTGACTAATTATTTTTGACAAAAATGTAAATAATACTTTTAGTGTGAAAAGGAATAATGTAAATATAAAAGTTTCTGGGCGAAATTTCTGGGAATGTTACTAGACAGTCGTTTAATTTGGCGGAAATATAGAATAATATTATGAACAAATGTAAATCAGCAATGAAAATTCTCAATTGTTTGATGAGTCCCAATGCGAAAACGAACCTTTCTAGTCGTGTCTAAGAAATCAGAAAATACAATTATGCTTCAGAACTTTAAAGAGGGTGTATACTAGGGACTAAGTAAAATAGTACTAAATGCAAATATAACTTACGTTTTATGGAACTTAATCGATAATAATTATCTCTGCTATCTATTACAATCATGACAGAAATAAAAAAGTGTTCGAGTTGTTGGTTTAACTTAGAGAAGCAATTCACATCCTAATTGGTAAAGGCTCCAAAGGCACAGAAGGAACGACAAATGGTGCATTCATTGATCTCCGTTTTCTGTGTTTTTGCAACGCCTTTCAGAACCTCGCAGTGAAAGATAAGATCAAAAGACCCTGTTGATCTCATTGCTGACATGCATTTAACAAAGATTGATAAATTTGACTCGAATAGTTGAAGCTGTTAGCTGAAAAGAATTCTTGCAAAAAACGAGACCAAATTATTTTCAAGAGGAACGTCAATTTTCATTAACTCTCTTATGATTCTTCATTATCTCCATATAATTGGAAACATATGTGGAATCATTGCCTATTCACGTATCTTGAAGATATATTTCCATCATATAAACACCTAACGTTGATACGCAAGCGTGATTCAATCTTTAGCTGTAATAAGAAATTCTACTACAATCTCACAATGTTTTATTAGTGCTCTGGTTGACCACTTTTATAAGCTTCGTAAGACGTTAATTTGTCTTCTTAATAATAATAATAATAATAATAATAATAATAATAATAATAATAATAATAGTAATAATAATAATAATAATAATAATTTCTTTAATTGATCTTTACAAACACTTGTGTTTATGAATTTGATATAACAATAATTTGTGAGTGAAGATAACGTTTTGATCGACAAAAATATAGATGCTTTACTAACTTGACCAATACCTTCAATATCTGTTTTGTGAATCTTTGTAATTTTATTAGCATTATTGGCAACTGTAATGTGTCAAACTGCTGTTTTGATCATAAAATAATCATTGATACATAGAGGTTAGGTGAAAATATTGATAAATAAACAAGTTAGAACTTAATGAGTTCAAAACTTTTGTTAAATCCCGTGTAAAACCTAAAGCCCCATGGGATATGGGATAATACAGTTGCCTCCGGTTATAGTGAACTCGGATATATTGACACCTCGGTTATAGCGAACTTAAGTCACTTGTCCCGTTTCACTTTAATTACAAATTAGCATAAGAAGATTGGTGAGAGAGATTGTGGTGAGTTTTCGTTGCCATTTACAATGAAATAATTATGAGTCGTCATTACCAACAATATTGTTTATTATAATAGCAGCTTCCGATGGGTTAGCCATTATCATCAGTTTTATATTGCAAGAAAAAACAACACCATTGAAACGTGAATCAAAATACAACAAAATTATAATAAAATATTACTAATAATTTACAATTTTTAGAAAATATATTTAACATTTTAAGAACTGAAAGAAAGAAAAGGGGCGTGATAAGTCATTTTAATACTACAAGAAAAGTGAATGAAATTAAATTTGAAACAGAAAACATGAAAATTTCTAAGTTGAGCTGTTTTTAACCTGCTGTATGGAAGCCACAAAACGAGTACGCGGGCTCGGGCGAGGAAAGGGGCTGAAGAACCCGGCTGCGGGGTGGAGGAGGGTAATTGCCTGGGGGCGGTGCGCTGTCTACTGTGCTGCCTGCTTGAGCATATATATTTGGCTTTACTGTCATGGAAATTAAGTGAGTAGACGCCGCTTTTTTCTGTTTGGGGGGCAGCATTTTTTTGAGGGAATTCTGAGATTTGAATGAAACTTTGATATCTGTTATAGTTCGGTTATTATATTAAGATTCGGTTATAGTGGACCTGAAACTCGGCTATAGAGGACGTAGGATATACGTCCTCGATTTAATTGTATATCATATGTTATTATGGGAATTGAAGGGCCATTGGAGAATGGGACGGTGTTCCAACACAGTAAGAAGCATTGAAGGGTGTCAAGAACGCATTTCGATACATAGAGACAGAGGACAATGTAGATTGAAGTATGTGGAGAGCACGAAGGATGAGCATTAAAGAATGATCTAGAGAGATTAGTAATGAAAAATGTACAAAGCAAAGAGTTGAAAATAATTCATTTTTTAAGGACAAATATAGATACAGAAATTTTCAGTTCGTGCTGTTAATGAATTCTGATGTATCTCTTTAGGGCAAGTGGGGGTAATGGGTGTCACGAGAGTCTGCGGTAAATTATCGATAAATATTGTAATCAAACCATATTGAAAGGCAGAAAGTAATGCTATTACCCACCATTAGTTATGAATTTGTGACGTTCTTGAGGAAATCGGAAGTAACCGGAAAGTATTAGTCAGTAACTGCTTCCTTATGACGACACGCTTAGTTGTGCATCAAAGGAGGACATTTTGAACTTCTTTTGTACACCAGCGGTACTTTAAAGTCTTGCCAAAGAAGACAAAGTGAGTTCAGTGCTGCCAAATGATTCGGAAAGACCCAATTTGCAAAATTCTGTCGCATTTTTATTTCTATGTTACTATTTCTTTGTAAACAAATGAATTCATTTCTTTTGTAAATATTAAATAATTGTTTATGTATCTGGAGTGTTTCTATGCTCCTCCAATGCAAATTTTTGCCTAAAAAGCATTCTTTCAAACCAGCTTTTGAGTGCCTATTGCGATTCAGTCATTCAGAACATCTAAGTAGTTTATTAGACAAAATATGCTTAATATTGTCTTAAGAGTTTATTTTCAAATTTTCGACGTTTCCTTCTTGTATATATAACGCCTTGAATACGAAACTGTATAAATAAAACAGTCGGGGTAGTTACACCATTTATAAATCAAGATCCGCTGAGTCAATTTTAATTATCTCTGATTAATGGAATCGCCCCAAATAGAATAACTTTTAAAATATCGGTAAAGTTCACTAGATGGCTCTGCAGAACAAAACAAAATATTCATGTCAAATGCAACCCGCAATACCCACAGCAGGATACTTTTTGAAACTGTATCGTTAAATAAATCTAAACAAAGGGTTCTAGCGCATTAAAAACTAAAAATTTTGAGTCCAAATGCCACAAAGAAATGTTTCTCAGGCCGTAATCTCCCGGATGAGTTTGAATATTTTGTTACATTTTTGCTGGTCCGGTGATTCTCGATATTACCCCGCTTGCTCAGAAACAGCCTGTTGCAGAATCTGCAACTAAATGTATATGACACACACCGTCAGACAGATGGTGAGAGAGGGAGACGGAAAGAGGGGAGTGACGGAGAGAGGGGGAGATAAAGGGTCTAACGTCTGCTGGGTTCCGCTAGTAAGAATATAATAGTCCGATGTCGTAATAGTCGATAATATGATGATATAATAGTCGATATAGTATTGATGTGTGTACTTCGTGTATCTTTGGGTGATTAACACACGTTCATTTCGGCAATTCGTATTATGTCATATATATTATATAATTAGAGAGAGACAAACAGATACATACAGACAGGGAGAAGGCTCCTAACATCTTGTAATTCTAAGCAGGTATGTGCCTGCAGTTCTAAAAGTACAATGGAGAAAAAATAGCGTATTTTCTAGAGATCACTTAACTGAAAATGACAAGTTTCAAACCGCGTCACATTTCTTGTGCACGGGCGGTGCATCCGCCCAGGAACGGCTCATTTCTCGTTTCCATCGCCGCCGCCAGCAGAGGGCGAAGAAGTGTGCGCTGGTGGGGGCGAGGGTGGGTACTTACGGAAAATGCGTCCGACCTCGAAGAGCTGCCCCCAGCCGACAACGGTGCACAAGCGGCCGTCGCGCAGTTCGGTGCCCGCGGGCGGCAGGCAGATGGGGCGCACGTAGTCGCTGAAGGCGACGGGCTCGCGCATGCGCAGCAGGGAGATGTCGTTGACGAAGCCCGCGTCCACGTAGCCCGGGTGCAGCAGCACGCGCGCGATGGGCCGCTGCTGCTCGTAGGGCGACGGCAGCGCCGTGCCGCGCCGTAGCGCGCCCAGCCGCGCCACCCAGTAGTCGTCCTGCGAGCTGCGCAAACGCACACGGCGACGTGGAAACAACTAGTCGCCCCGTTGAGACAAAAGAAAAGGTCGATAAATATCATACGTTCTCTTTCGCTTTAATTGTCATGGTTACAAATAAATTATAATAATGCTATTGTGATAGACTCACTACCACTATTTCATCTATCCCTCGTCCAACTACATTCACCAAATTGCTTCAAACACAGAACTCCAGCACTCATCTTCTATGAAGTACTTTGTTACAAAGGGCTTAAGTTTTTAGCAGCATAATCCATAACAATCCTTTTATCATTGCTGAATCTGAAAAGTTCCGCCGGAGCCGCTTCACGGTGACACTGGAAATGAAATGGGTAGAATTGAGAAATATGAGAGAAGAAAACGCAAAGCTGGCGGCTGAACCAGCTCAAACACACTGAATGACGAGCTTAGTTTTATTCGGCTTGAAGTAGCCAAATATACATCTGGTAGGCTGTAGGAGAATTCTAGCGACCTTCTACTGATCGGTAGTTCTCCGATCAGTATCAAACAAATGACGGAGTCGTATCCTAACAAATGTTCACGTACCGCTCGCAGTCTTCCTTCCTCTCCTTGATCCATCCTTTCGTCTTAATCATGCACGTACACTTATACGCACTTACTTAGATGCTTAGTGGTGAAAGAATAGCTCTCGAGACACCTCTAATTAGTTCAAGCTTCAGCTGTTATCCAAGTTGAAGTGACAGTGAAACGTACATCCTCATATAGTGTACAGGATCAGTATTAATAGTATAGACAAATCTTACAACAAAAATAGAGACCCCCTCCAAACATGTATACTTTTTTTACATACCAGGATACCAAATGTACCGCAACGACAGGCCTTCTGAAACAGCGGCAGGTGGCGTCGCCCTAATAATAATTAATAAAATGAAGCACAAACCTATTGATTGTGCAAACATGCAAGATCTCAAAACGATAGCCATAAAAACAAAATCTTTAACCAAATACGCAGCATTATCTATGTACTCAACCCTAAATAAAACTTTTCCATGTAAATCTTATCAAAAAATCTTTAATTGTAAAAGTAACAATCCAATCTTGCTAGGCGAACGCAATGAGTTCAGGAAATATGTCGTGACTTTCTCATTTAACAAACATGTATTTTTGAATTGCAGTAGTGACACGGCAAGGCGCCCGCCAGAGGCGAAGTCAGGGAAGTGTCTGGGACGCGCTATCTGACGAACTGACAATAATTCAGCGAATACGCGGTTGCTATTTTTTTTGTTAAATACTGACATTATATATACGCATTAACAGGGCGAAATAGGGTACGTTATCGCAGCGACCGAAAAGAGAAGACCTCGTGGACATAGGACATTTCTTCGCCCGGAGTTCATCCGAGAAGGTATTGAATGCGCCCGAAGTCAGAACATCTGAAAGTGATTTTGTGCAAAGAAGGTTGAGAATAGAATCGGTAGTTATGGGGGTCATTAAACCATGTTTATGATTTTCAATGAAATTCAAATTATATTTGTTGTTTGAAATAAGGCTGATAATTCATATTTAGTTGCAATCAAAGAATTTCAGAATCAGAAATCGCTGATCTGGACGGCGTGTACATACGATTAGGTAAACTATAGTTAGTTATATGTCGATACTCTCAAATAATAAAACTATGAAAGGCAATGTTATTGAAATGATTAATAATGAAATTCACACATGAACAGAGGAGGGAATAGAAATTATATAAAGACCGAATATAAATATTAATATTTGCATCAAGCAATTAGGTAGTGCGTTTAGGTATTTGCAACAAGCAATGAATAGGAGGTTCATTTCAATAGATTTAGTTATTCCATATTAATGTATTTGTTCTTTCAAATATATGCACAATAAAGGATTTACAAAATTTTATTTAGAAATTCTATGCTTCAGAAGTAGGTAACTCTTAATTCCACTGAAGCCCTTATATTTAATAGTGGGTGTGGGCGGAAAGGCGCATTAATAATTACGTAAATGATCCCACGATAAAATGTTTCGAAGAGTGTGACTTGTATTTTGACAACGTGAGTACAGTAAATGTCGTCCACATGCATTTATGTGTCTAAATTTCTAAATCTGTTCCAGTTCGCAACTGTGGTTTTGCTCTCTGAACTACAAATCCCGTTCAGAGTATGTACTAAGTAAAATTTAACATGCCTCAGAATAATTTTATTATTAATTTCAGGTTTATTGAGCATGTAGTAAGGAAAGAAGTTTACTCGTTTAGTGGGAGGACCTTAATGCTTCGAAGAGAAGCATTGATGCGTGGTCGTTACCTAATATCTGCTTGCTCATGTCTAAGAGTCCGCACCCGAGTTACGCGTTTGCAATGAAAAGAGGGACCTACTCATTTCCGCGTGAAGGTGACGCGTGATATGAAGGTCAACGAGTTTAAGAAAGTACAGATGGGCTGCTACTGGCTAAACAAGTATTATATAATGTTGACATGAGCGAATGTACGACTTATCTACGACCATACTACATCTTTTGAATATGCCTCATCTTTAGACATTTAAAGTAGGATTTCTTTTTACCCAACTTTGCAAAGATCTTTTTTAAATGGCTGGCATCCTTCTGCAGTGAATATGGAGTTAGGACAACGAGGGATTACTTGGGATCTACACTACTAATATTCCTACTACAAGGATCTTTCGAAATTTTTCGGATAATGTAAGATGTGATTTGCTTACTAGATTTCGGTGATCAAATTTAACTCGTGAATGTAAATAGCCATGCACTAAGTCACCAACAACACGGTATCACATACTTATATGTTACAAATTATAATGTTTAATGCATTTTATTGATTGAGGTATTCGATCAGGTTATGATAAACTAATTGTCTGGTCTCGAATTCATGTAATAATACGTAATCGATGCAAATGAAGGTATTTGTAATTCAGTCGCAAGTGTAAATTTTCCTAATTTTTTAAATGAGAAGGATGTTAGTTATTAAAATGCAGATCTTTGAATGATGTTTGCAAGTTGTTGATTGGTGAAAGCAGAAGTGCTAAATATATAAATTGCTCTATTCGGAACATAAATGTCTCTCAGACGACGCTTTTGTTACTCAACGATGATAATAATCTTAGAAATTTATTGTCGGTAAATATGAAGAAGTTTGAGGACATTAAAAGAAATGAAATCGTTTATTATCTTGATGAAGCTGAAATGAGTCTTTTAAGAACAGATATCTGCATCAAAGATCACATAATTTGTTTGAAAAAAGTAGTTCCTTATTGGAATATAAATATTCGTTTAAATAAAACCTTATATTAGAGTAGTAGATCTTGGAGGTGTCATTTATGTTTTCGGGATTAATGAATTTCACCCTCCTAGGGAAAATGTTCTATCGTGAACAATGTGCTTCACTTTCCTGTTCCGACTGCCGGGAGGTATTTCCTCTGCCAACCTCAACCAGCCATAACTCAGAGCGTGACCTTGCACTACCATGTTGTTAGATAACAGCGACGGGTTACGAGGGGGTGACGTTCGTCTGAGCAGCCAACGCCTCCTCCGCCTCCGCCTCCGCCTCCGCCTCCGCCTCCGCCTCCGCCTTCTTCTTCCGCCATCTTCGCCTTCGCAATCCTGCTCTGTCTGCTGCAGCCACTCAATTTTATTTCCTCTAGGCGCTGCCGGAAACTGATGGCTATCGCCTAAGTAACTGCCGCAGAGGCGGCTACTGTAGCCTTCCATTGTGCACCTGTTCCCTTGAGTTGCATAAGCTATTCCGTCTGCTTCTATTCCCTAGGAGTGAATACCATTAAAGCAACGCGTGAGCTTCGAGGATTCAGTTCTGGTTTTCTAGAAGTAATAATAAAATGCTAAGCCTCCATTTTGAAGTTACAGGTCAGCTATTGATGCCATCGAGATGAAAACGATGTGCTGAAGGCATACAGATGTCGAGGGGTACGCAATTCGCAAAATTTGGAGGGTAAAGGATAATACTGAAAACGAACTATTATTATAAAGACTTTTTTCCGGACATCCTGCCGTAGCATAATTATTCCATACATCAGTTTTTACAGGATAATAAGAGCTTTAAAGAATGAAGACGCATGCATATCAAACTAACCTAATATAGAATTATTAATTTTTGTGAGATAGATTATTTGTGCAATTTATGTAAAACTCTTTATTTTGTCCATGTGAATCAGTTGTCTAAAATGTTCAAAATTTACAAATAAACTAAAAAAAGTCGAGCTATTGTAATTCTAATATTTCAGTAATGAAGGCATGATAGCACAATATTTTGTGATACGTGATGACTGAAAATATGAGATTGAATTTTATTATATCCCATATGAAATGTAAACTTGCACAGTCGACAAAAAAGGAATGGGGAGTAAATTTTATTTTTATTTTTCAAAAGTTTGTTTCTGGACAAGGTCCTGCATAAGTCCATAGAGGAATATGCTGGCTGTCAGTAAAAAGCTAACGCAAAGCAGCTAAACAGCGTAGAAACAAAAGTGCTTTTGCTGCGCAACATTTTGTCCCACAACTATGACATTTTCATAACACTCGACTGTAATTGAGCAACTCAGTTGTCAGCGTCAATCACATGGCATCATTTGATTGTCCATTGCACAGCGGCAATCGCTGTCGTATCAGCCACCAATCTAAATTGTTAACGAACAATCGGGCGGAGAGTCGACAGAGGAGGCTTCTTTTTGCCTCGCCTTCAAGCTCCGCCCTCAAGGGGTTTTATGTGTGGTACATCTAAAAAGACGTCTCAGAATAAATATTAAAAATTTCTACTTCTATTTATGAAATATTATCACTTGAATATGTTGTTGGCCATTTAATGAAATGAAGTTATCTCTGTTATATTTATCCTTGGTTGTTAGGAAATTATTTTGCTCTGGTGTTTGGCACGTACACGAAATATCTTCGAGTGCATCAGAATGTGTACCAACCAAACATCAGCGTACGATGAATTGCCTACCAATCGGGGGCAAATTTCACACGTGTAACCTGGGGCATTTGAGCGCTTGGCTAATCGTCGAAAGCCTTTTCTCTCCTCGGCCAGGGGCTCGGCGCCGTTAGATCCCGGCGTTCCTAGACGGTCACCAAACCAGGAACCGGCGACATCTCGAATTCGCTTAACCTCCGTGAGTTCACGGAGTGTAGTTAAGGAATTCGGCTAGCGACGCCGACATGCTCATTGACAAAGCGATAATGTTGTATATGCTCTAGACGCATGTAACATTTATTCCGAGACAGTTGTGAATAATGGAGCCAAAGAAGTACTCACTGGTAGAAGCAGTGACCCGCGGACACGAGCCATCGGCTGGAGATGAGGGTGGCCCCGCACTGGAACTCGCCCTCCTTGTAGAGCGCCGCCTGCCACGGCCACGCCCCCGGGCCCGCGTTGCCGCCGCCCACGATCCTGGAACCGCGGGACCTGCGACTCGTGCTGTCACCCCGCGCCCTCCGCCCCGCGCCGCTCCCCGCCCCCGCCGCATGCCCCGCTCACATGCTGCCCACGGTCTCAGCGCTTTCACTCAAAAAGGCCGTTTTTTAAAACCAGGGGAACTGGGGGCTGCGGAAGATCCAAGGAATGTAAGGGGCGTGAAGAAATATTTACAGCTTGTGAACAAGAATTAATGTCTCTGAAAATACTCATATCAATTATGGAACGTCAGGTGAAACAAATACTTGTCAGTTCAATGACTCTTCTGTTTGTTACTGTACTACAAAAATAATGTATATTAACAAAACTTACAGTCCTCGACCGTTCTAACTTTAGTAAGTTGTAATGAACGTTTCTTGTACGTGTAGAATTCTGCAGATAAAACATAGCTTGTTGCGTAGAGAAACGTTTAAGATATCAGATGTCATTTTTTGCTAAACGCGTCATTTCTAGTTTTCATCAACGTTCTATTCAATGTCTAATGGTACCCCGAATATTTTGTGCCTTTAAGATCTCGAAATGAGGTTTTAAGAATTCGATAGGTGATTTAGGGGTCGTCCATAAATTAGGTAACGCTACAGAGGGAGAGAGGGGATTCCAGGGAGCTTTAAAGCACATACACAATGCAAACGTAAACATAAGCATAACACATAGACGTAAATATTAACATAAGTGATCGACTGAAGTATTCACAATATTTAACATAGATGTACATAAAATAAGCGTTTCTGTTGTGTGTGTCTTTCTAGTTTACTATTGGTCGGATGTGCGATTCTATTTCGAGGTATCGACTGTGTCCATAGCCCATATGACGTTAGTTCATCTAACGACTTCGCTCACTTTTTGATTCTCAATTTTGCGTTAACGTACTGTGATTGGTTCATTTCTTATGTCTTACTTAAGCATAAGCACAGAAGCGTGAAGCTTGCGAGCTTTAAAGTTAACGTCTTACGTGTTCTGCTTATGCGAACGCTTTGTGAATGAGTCCGCTTGTGGACGTAGTCCTAACTTTTATGTTAACGCCATGCTTATGTTTGTTTGCATTGTGAATGGGCCTTTACGCAACGTTACATAGGGGATTAGGGTTGTCGTTGGCTTCCGTGACATTGAAGTTTGGTTTTAACATTTTTCGACATTCGTTTAAATACTTCCATTCTTTGAATCTTATACTAAAACATTAAATTATTAACTAATTAATGTGTTTTAAAAACTAGCTCCCTGATTTTTGTTTTTAATTTTGACCATTTAATTTTTTTTGCACTTGCTCACACGTTGTTTGGCAATGCATTGGACGATAAATTTGTTTCTTCCAAAAGCCATTCTCAGTTGTTTCATTACTACGATTGATGTTTTAATTAATGAACAATACTAATTCTTATTTATTATATTCTTATTTGTTATTTATTTACTTGTTTCTTTTATTTTTTAAATTTATTCATATTCAATATAAATATTTCTATAAACAATAGAACTCCAACAATACAATTGCATCTATTCTTATTCACAACAATATAATTTTTTAGAGTAAATAAATGAAATATGCTAGACGTGTAAATATATGTATATATATGTATATATATATATATGTATATGTATTTATATATATATATGTATATGTATATATATATTCAATTCTAAGGGTTACGCCCACTCCTTAAACGCCTTGATTACTACATAGTTCCATTAAATATATTTTAGGGACTAAAACGAAGTAAACCATGCATAAACTGTATATCACCGTATTCAGGAGAAGACAGAATAAAATGGAGTCAATTTTGAAAAAAATATTTTTTCCTAATTTTTTCGTGTTTTTCCCGTAAACGAAATAATTGTTCATCGATATTAATCCAATTCGGGATGATGTCCGTACATCACCATAAGCGGAAATTAGAAATTTTGTCACTCCTTTCCTTGAAATTCATCTATCTTTGTCTTGTTTGAAGGTCTAAACTTAACATAGTAAAGCTACTTCATGATATGAAAAGTTTATTTATCATAATCATCTATTAAAGAAACCTCGCCCGGCCCGGACCCTACAGCAGTCTCCCTCGCACCTTCGCCATGCCCGTCCACACCTCCCGCTGTCACACTCTCACGCCTCGCCACGCCACGCCACGCCACGCCACCGGCCCCTCTCACCCCTTTCGGTCCTTTTGGCTGGCTCTTGCTTTCGCTCCTTCCCCGCCCACTCCGCCTCCTCCTTCCTTCCTTCCTGCTCCATCGCCCGTTCGCTCCCCTTCATTCAGTCCCGCTCCGACCCGCACCGCGTCATTCGCGAACGCTCAGTAACATGGAATTGGGGATTGCATTCAACTAAATATTAAAAGAAAAAACAACTTATTTTAAGAAATTTTGAATCGCAAAAACATCTTTTTATTCTTGGACTCAAAAGTGTACAAAGTGCCAAAATTGAGATTAATCACTCCAACCACTCACGTCAACAAAGTGGGAGTCGCTAGTTATTGCTCTTCTTGCCATTCGTCCATCTATCCATACCTTGATTAGCTTTGAGATACTGGTTATCGACGATTGATCACCTTTCATTTATCGCAAGAAAATTATTTTGATAATAGATATAACATCTCTATGAGCATCTGTAGAGACATGACGTAGTTGTGGGCTACAACTGTAAATAAAAGTAGTGCTATCGATTCACAACATTCTGTTTTCTGTAATGCAACAGAGTTTGCTTAAATCTGGAAGTTAGGAACGGTGGTTTTGCGGCCGTACCAGAGAAGTAACAGCCAACTGCAAGGAAGTGTGTCAATATCTTTTATAAGTTAAAATAGGTTGCATAAAATCGACATTAAACAAACAAATTCATTTTTCTTTTTAAGTGAAACTTATGACTGAAAATTTCATCAGACTGAGACCCGTTGATCGTCTGAATCTTATATTAAAGAAAGACTAGGTTCGAACTCCCGAGTGAAAGTTAATTTAGTAGTTATAATTATTTAGTAAATATAATTTATTTGCGGAAAGAATTGGTGTTCAAACAACCACAATCAAGATAAGCTTTAAATAAAATAGTTATGATAACTGCCTCCTAATTTCAGTTAATGGTCACTTTCGGAATTATGTTTAATGTCACGAAAGAAAAGAAAACTTCGTGAACTGCCAATCGCTAGCCGATTTGAAGTTGGTCTGGAACATTCTCGGCTGTAACGAAACCTTTCTTGCCTGCGCCAGAGCGGCGGCGAGGCTCCACCCACGCCGCGCCTGCAGCCGGGCGGCCTCGGTCCACTTCGCTCGCGGCGCGGCGCGGCGCGGCGCGGCGCGGCGCCGAGCTCCGTCCTCACTCCCGCTCCCGCCCCCGCGGCTCGCAGCTTTCCGCGGTTGACATTCTCTCAACGTTGGCCTCTGCGTCTACGGTTTTCGATCCCTTAACCCTGTCAGATGGAAGACGAATGCATTTTTCTCTTCGAAATCTTTCGGTAAATAGGATTAGATTCAAAATAATGTGAATCAGTTTTCTGGTAGTTTTTGCATTGCGTAATATATTGAACGAATCACTGTGTTTTGCAATCTAAATTCACATGGACGCTTGCCATAGAGACATAATCTACGACATTTATGTAGAGCTAGTGGCATCAGGGTGTGATATAGGGCATCTTAGGAGTTTGAACTCTCTTATTTCTAGGGTTTTACCAGAGGCTCGGAAGTTGAGGTGTCTTCATTTTCAGATATGGTGACTTTGACAAGAAAACGGTCGAGTTTTATCTCTAGAGACATTCTGTAAGGGAATTAATGCCATTTAACACAATGAGTTACTTTAGAAGTGAGGATTTAAATGTTATTAAAATTGACAGGTACATATTTTTTTAAATATTGACTATATTTTACTTCTCTCTCCATAGATTCAGAAAAATATCATTTTGCAAATTCCTAGCTGTTCCATAAAAGCAGATTCTTATTTATTCCATTATTTCCATTCCTGATGGAAATAAAACAAGCATTAATATGTTAGATTTCAAGGATTAGTAGTTGCTATTATTATATTTTATTTACAGAATATAACATAATTTTCCTTTCTCGCTACCGCGATAGAGGAGGAAGGATTAGGAGGAAGTTATTATGAAATACTGCGCGAAAAAGCGGCGAATTTTCGGCAGAAAAACGTATTACACTTCCCTGGTAAAGAAAATGTGGATAAATCCTGTTAGTAAATTTAGAAAAAAAAAAATCCTCTAACACATGGTGTACCCAGAATCCAAGTTTTGTGAGTAATCGATATCAAAAAATCGATTGGCGGCAAAACGTCTGTCCGTCTGCCTGTGAACAACGCTAGCGGCTAAACCATTCTGCCGATTGTTTCCAAAATTGAAATCCTTGAATCGGTCTAGCTGATGACGCGGCCCCTAGAATTTGAAACTGATATTTTAGTTTTGGGGGGAGGGGATACTTTACCAGATGCTGCTCGGACATTTAAAAATGTTAAAAAATGTCTCGAAATATTTTTGATTAAACTTTGTTATTGGGTAGTTATTGGGACGTTTACGAAAAAAGTGCAGGTCTAATTTTCGTTAAAAATCCTGATTTTTCGAAAATTGAAAAAATTAAAAAATTTACGGCGTTTTCACACAATTAAAATTAAGAAGATGAACGATCAGTTTGTCAAAAACGTGACTATTATACGAAATTTTGTATCATACATTCAATTTTTATTTTTAAACATAGTTTTCTTAAAAACGGCACATTTTAAAAAAAAAATTACACACTAAGTACCGTATAGAATATTTAAGGTAATGGTACAGGTAGCATAATTCGTTGAAAAGTTTGATTTTTCGAAATTTAAAAATTTTAATTTTTTTCGTCGTCTTCTTACAACTATAATTATTATCAACTTTAAAAACTGGACTTTCAAACAAGTTAATTTTTTGAAAATAAGAGTATTTTTGTACAATTTGACAACGAACATATTCACCCGCTCCGCATTTACTGAGCTTCCTGAACATAATTTCAGGCAATTAGATGCTTCGTAAGTTAGAATTTGAAAATATTTATTTTTTCTTTGTTCCTTACATTTGACTTTTCTAGTACATTTAATCATTAATATTTTAGAAATTATTTAAACCTATTTGAAATATATGAAATAAAAAATGTAGCCTTCAGGCAATATCAGATTGGAATGCAACAATGACATTCCGCATCTGGAAGAGGCAGCAGAATTTCTCTGATTTACGTCTTATTTTTGGAACACGATGTAGCTGTATGAAAAGCAGTTATAATTGTCAAATTTCTGTTGATAATTGCTTGAAAATATTTAGATTTTTACCAAATGTTGTACGATTTGTAATGAGTTTAAAAAAAATTATGACTGAGATGTGTTAATTCGGAGAGAAATTGTGCTGTAAATAGTGTTACATAACTATTACTAAACGCGAGAAAGTACGCACTATTTTAGCACCACTAGTTTTAATTTGCTAGCTTTTGCATGTCTAGTCAATGATTCACAATCTTCAGTAGTGACTTAACAATAAATAGCACGAAAATACATTTGTTTTGGCTGAATGGTTTACGAGTATATAATTGAACAGGAAAATTTGTTACAAAAAAGTTTACACAAAAATATATATCTTCATTATAATTTTTTATCTATTTTCTATCATTTTTGTTATTTTGATTTTCAATTGCAGTCTGATTCGAAAATTAATTTCCCATTCATTGACAGTAAAGATGGTAATATTTTCATAAATATTCTGCGGGACATTTATCAATTTTTCATGTTTAAAATTAATTTAAAATTGCATTGCACGAGGACAATTTCAGGAGAAACAAACACATGGCGTTTTGCTGAAATATCTATTTAAAGTCTCATGTGTGCGTGAAATGTATTTCGTGAACTCGAAAGCGAGCGGTTGGAATGCATGGAGTGTGTGCGTGTCGATTATCACTTGTCGTTTCAGCTTGCGCTGCTTGATTGTTGGAATTGTTGTGTCACATCACGTACGTGCAGAGCGAAACAAATGGTGGTTATTACAAAAGTTCTCGGAATAACCATTGACAAGCAACACGGTCGATCAATCACGGAGGCATTCTTTTTCTATCTTGACTCCACTAGTGATGGATTGTGGTGAATTATTTCTCAGGGTGAGATGCATTGTTATCTGATATTTGATATCATCTTTGATTAAGTAATTGAGAGGAATGTACAGAAATTATGTTTTGGAAGATATATGAATTTCCAGAAAGTAAATGTGGTCTGGCGATTCAAAAGGAAATAAGTTTGTGGCCTCGAGGAAGGCAGAATAAATGTTATTTAATGAATGCATTTTGTTTGATTGATAATGTGTATGTTTCACCTACGTTGTATCTTATGTATTTTGAAGTATATATACCTAAAATAATTATGGTCAAATGCAAACTCTCCATGTTTGTTTCCTTTTAATAAAATATGTTATAACAGTGATCAAAATTAATATGAAATATACAGAAATTGGTTGGAAAGTCTATAAAAAGAATATTCCACATGCAATAAAGTTTGATACATTCTTTCACTTTTCTAGCCACTCAAATGTTAATATTACTAAAAGAATTTTTCAAAGTGTGTATTCAGTAATAGAAAGTGTATGATCGAGATGGATATGTGTAGATGTTATATATTGATATATAAGTAAGATGCTAGATAATCACTTTCAGTTTCAAATACGATATATCATTTCGTCATTGAATTATGTACATGTGTTTTATTAAACAAAATAGTATGTTGCTTTTTGTACTTATATCTGATCTACCACATGTTAGGGAAAAAAGAACCATAACTTACGCTCTTTTCAAACTCAAAAGAGATTTTTTGAAGCTCTAAAATTCAAAACTAAGCATATTTACCATATCTGAATGCTGCGCGTTGCCTCTACATGTACATGCATTCTGGAGAAGCTTAACGAAGGTGAAAATGAAATGCGAAGGACGCAATGATGCATATTCTATACATTTGCTAAGGTTTTATATTATTTATTTATTTATTTGTATACTTATTTATATATATTTGTTTATTTAGTAGCCAATTGTCGTGACTGGGGCTGTCAATTGACAGCCCTATTCGTTTTCGATCCTCTCAAAAAGTCTCTTTTGACGAGAAGCAGCGTGTTAGCGCAGAGGCGCCATCCACAGCACTCGTGCAGCTCGGAAGCAGCTGAGGAACGAGGCGCCCAGTCGCAATGGGAGCGCTCCGCACAGAGGTCGAAACGGGCCAAAAGGAGGTTATAGCAAAACTACAGGGGTAATAGAAATACAGTGGAATTGACATATTTTCTCAATTTATTCCATTAGCATACACGCTCTAAATGCAGATTTGTCATTAAGCATTAAAATGAATTTATGGTTTTGTATATTTAGTTAATCAAATATCATTTTATTGAAGATTTCTCTATTTTTAAACGAACGTTTTTTTAGAAAGCATTGAAAACATTTTGAGATAATCGTGGCAATTTTTGGGTGTGGAATATTTTAAAGGTTCTTAAGCACAATGAAGGTAAATGTACAAGTTAAGAAAAGTTGTTTCAAAGTTTAAAAAAATACATTTTCATAAAAACGAATAGATTAGTTAAATTTTGGAACTTACTTCCAATTATTATTTATTATAATATTATCTGTAATGCTGCGGTAAGCTTTTGGCTCGTTTGGGCGGAGTGTGCGTGCGAGACGGGGCGCGCCCTACCTGGCCCACTGGTGCACCGCCTGCGGCCGCACGCCGCACTCCAGGTCGCGGCAGCTGACGCGCACCACGTCGCGCTGCGGGCACAGCGACGGCCGGAACTCCAGCGACGACCTGCGCACGGCCCCGCTCAGTACTGCGGCCCCCTGCCGCGCTCCACCGTTAACTGTGCCTTTCGTCCGTAAGTGTAGTGCGTGGAACTGCCCGAGAGACGGAGGGGTTCCTCCTCCGCATGGACGTGAGATCCGTCGAGGACCTAAACGACGGCTTGCGAAGGAGTCCCTCCGCCTCCTTCGGGAAACTCATCCAGCAGGGCACCTCCCCAGCCGAGACTACTGTGCGAGAGCGATGTCAATGGTTTAGAAACATAGATGATTTTTCGGAGCGAAGTTAAAGACGATGTTTTTACGTTTGGATTTACGACGATGGATTTACGTTTTCGATGTTTCCTTGGTAAATTAAAATTCCCATAATCGTATTATTGTAAAAGTTAAAATATGAAATAATAACTTATGGTAACGTAGATAATTTGTTCGAACCAAACGAACGCTGTTTTTCTACCTTCGCTGAGGATCACTCCGGTGCCCTAGTATTTCCTTCGTCTTTCGCACTCGGAGAGGGGTCAACGCATGCTCCTTCCCGTACCCTTATTCGACGATCTGAAGACTGCCCTCTTAAATAACCCTGGGAACTCAGGCTTTCAGCCTGTTTTGTCTTTTGTTTTATTTTTTAATCTTTGTTTTCAGTTAAATATTAATTATAATTCATAAACACGGCGAAAGTCAAATTTAATTTTGATGCGCATGAAACTAATTTTGGAGGTTACAAAACCAGCTTTACAACATCAATATTTAAAACCTTAATAGATGTTTAAAAATCGTAGTGATATTTAAAAACATTGATGATTTTTAGTCGATGTTTTAATTTAGAACATCGATGTTCTGTTATCGTTGTCGCATCACTAACTCTAAGCTCTCAACTGGTATTGTGTGGTAGTGAAGTTCATGCATGTGTGTGTATGTATGTGTATGTGTGTGTCTGTGTGTAAGACGAGAGGGTAGGACAAGGAGGGAAGAGTATATCGCGCACGGTCCGTGACCCTTTCTTTAGTGTACTGCTCAGGCATTTGGCTGATGTTGCTCAGAGAAATCACGAAAAACTAGTGATCAGAGCAGGCGGTAGCTAGGATTCTTCTCCAGTGCAGTGAAATTGGACTAGCTCTGGAGGTAGTGCTGTCAATTTACCAACGCCGGGACTCAACTCTAGGACCTCTCGTTCAGTGACGCTGCAGAGGTAACAGCAATGATGCCTCGGCGAATATTTGAGCAAATTAATCTTCTTTCTGTGTATCCCTAAATATAATTGGAAGATAGCAGAAGCAGGTGTGAGGAATGACCGAGTAACACACGTTATACACTAGATTTTTTTGTTGTTTTTTTTCACACTTGCTGCTACAGGAAGTCAAGGTTTCGCATTCCCTTTGCTTTTTCTGTGTTAAAAATATGAAAATTAAATGTCCCAATCAAATAATATAAAGAAATTATCAGATAATACACTATAAGAAACTATGTCAAAATTTTGAATTATGTTCCCTTAATGATACATTTTTGTTTATTTAAGGTCGTATCAACATCTAGGTCATTATCGACCACTTTTGCATTGAATGGTATGACATGACATGGTGATGACATTATATGGTGATGATAGGGGGTGAGAGAACGATACAACCACGCCCGAGGCGGGACTCGAACCCGCGATCGCTACGACACTACTGCCTTAACGATCTGGGCAATGCGGACCGGGCATAATGATATTGTGTCGTAGTGTTTCTCGATATTTATGATCATCCGAAGTTAATTCAAATTTTAATATGACTTGTGCAGTGTAATGGATTATGAGAACGCGTTCCTTTCATTCCGAAGTAATGTTTTATTGTCATTACTAAGCATTCAGAAGGTAAATCCCAGAGAAATGCGAAACGTTTGCTCTCTATATTAATAAACGAGAATAAAAGCAAACCTGTGAATGACGTATCATTCGGTTGTCCCTGTGACCTACTATTGTTAATGAATATTTGAGTAAATGTAATGAAGTATTGATTTTAGTGTTGGTAATTACCTCCAGGAGCAACATTGAAAAGCGCTGCCTCAGCGCACTCCACTCGAACAATTGGGCAATGAGAGTCATTCATGACGAGCAATTGAATTCATATGGTAATAAAATAGAAGTTTCCAAGCAACGGTAATTCAGTCCAGGGACATAAAATATATAAGCATAGAAGTGGAGACCACAGATAATTTTCGTTTGTTAAAATTACTTTTGCATGAATACTTGATGAATATGAAACCTTGTGAATGTACCCTTGCTATTTACCACGGTTAAGAAAAATATATTTTCCCCATTTTATTCAATAGCAAACTGTGTTGGGAATTAAAATTAGAGCTTTTAGAGTTTTTTGAATAGCAAGACAAGAGATCGAAATTTCCAGTTAAAAGGAGGTCCACCATATGAAGTTTTGTGGTTTTTCCACAAACACAAAAAAGGAGACACGCTAACGTACGCCACGAATGTAAACTTGATGTTGATTTGTAATGCATTATTCAACTAAAAGACTATGTTAGCGGCGGACTTTCCCCCAAACATTGTAATCGAAGACTTGACTCGGAGACTTGGATTTTGTTCTGAATACGAAACGGAGTCAATTCTCGATTATATGTATAATTCTTCTTATCTAAAGGAGATTTATTAAAATTATTGTCTCATAGTTATATTTAGGGGGACTTATAAACAAAGAAAAACTTAATGATTTTGGAAAATCCCTTCCACTTGCTTTTGAAAATACTCTAGACACATTCGTCGGATTCTTGGTTATTTTAAGATTCTGAAGGGAACCGATATCACGTCGAGATTTCCTTGCTCTTGTGAGCTCCCAAACCCACTACGCCTCGTCTCAAAGTATTCTTTTCTGTTTGCGTTCATGAACGCCGTGGCGATTAGAACCGCGGAAAAGTGGAGTTTTTGTGGGCACGTTCAAGCGATGTGTGGAACTCACCGCGGCGAGGGCCCGTCGCTGGCGTTGCCAGGCGAGTCGGCGATGGCCAGCTCGAAGTAGAGGTCTCCGCTGCCGCTGTCCCCATCGCCATCGCGGCCGCTCGCAGGTTCATCCGTGGCGCGGTCCACGCGGTCGAAGTCGCTGGCCGGCAAACGGACAACAGGCGTTACTTCAAGAATTCTCTTCCCTCGTTCTCCGCTTGCGCTTAGTTTTTATTACTGTTTGTACAATTATGGGGGTTATTCTTATTAATATATTTGCAATATGATATTATTGCCTGACAGCAGTTAGGGATTAAAATCAGCATATAACATATTCTTAACAGTTAACAACACATACTTAACAGTAGCACTGCCGCTAGGGATAGCGTTTCGTCCCTCGTAACATTGTGAACTCTCACGCAGTCATCAATCACCGACGATCAAGGACCACAATTATAAGGCAACCCAACACAAGGACCTTGATTCTGGTTCTGATGGAGATTAAGAATCTCTCTCCCAGTTTCCTGAATCTCTCAGTGGTACCGACATTGTTAGTACCAAACGGTGTGGCAGTGTGGAGGGTTGCGGACCCCCCCCCCCCC